CGGAGAGAGTTGCCGGCCCATCCCGCTGCTCTCTGCCCCTGCTAGGGGTGAGCGAAGGACTGGTCCACAGCCGCCTGTGAGTGAAGAAATGGCACGAGGGCTGAGCGAGTGCGAGCGTCGCAGTGGCGGCGTCCCGCGCTGCACCCTCGCCGTCACCGCTCTCTCGTAGTCCCGATCGGCATCTCGACTGCGATCGACACCGCGGACGATGGGCGAGTGCTGGCCGTGCTCGACGGGCTACCGCGCCTGGGCCGTCGCGCCCAACGCTGGTAGCGAATCACCTGCGAGCGGCTGCGTTTGGGTGAGTGCTCGCCAAGAATATTCCCGACAGCATCTCACTTCAGCCGTGGCAGCCCAATGCAGCATCGTGGGACCGCAGCTCCTAATACACCGCGTGGATGTTCTGTTGCGCCGCCTGTACAGCATTCACTTTGCGTCGGCGTTCATTCACGCTGACGGCCGCACGCTTGTTGCCTTGTGTGCAGACATCCGTGCCTGTGGTGCGGCAATGCCAACTGCCGTGTCACCTATAACGACATGGGCTGCCGAGCGCAGTCTGAGTATCAGCGCCGACAGGAGGGGCCGCTCTGTTCTGCATCGCCTCACACCGACAGTCTGACGAGGACACGGCCGACCATCGTCTGGGCGATGGGAACCCACACGTTAAGCCTACCGGTGCGTCTGCTCGGCAACGCGATTGATCGACACCCCAATTTTGATTACGCACGCTTCCACCGCCGCTGCAGGGCAGACCGTGCCACGCCGCCGTCAGCTGCGGCTGGGTGCAGAGGCTGGGGCGTCCCAGCACACCACGCGATACTTTCTGGTTGGGTGCGTCCACAGTGCGTTGCACCACGGCGGCGAGGCAATCGCACCGTGTCCGGCCCCCATTCACCACCACGGCCTGGAAGTGCGGCGCCGCGACAGCTGCACGGCATCTCTCGGCCCACGCGCATCAACGAAGGATACTTCTGTCCACCTGGCAGCCAATCCAGCACCGCTGCGGAGGATCATTGGTTTCCGCGCACCCACACAATACGAACGCCATGTACGTTTCCATAATCACGGGATTTGAGTTCCCTTATCTACTCGGAACCTATGCCTCCGTCCATGCAGGAAAAGCGGCGACATCGATCCCGCTTCCGAGAGATGCTGTTATTAATGGATTAAAACGCGCATGTAATACTATTGGGATACCCCACAGCCACAATCGCGCTCCTCCTATTCAACATCGAATTTTCCTCTGGGACACTGTGAGTTGCAACAAAGAGGAATTTTATCAGCCACGCTTTGCCAAAGACGCCTCTGACGATGTCAAGCGCACGGCTTTTGACTCTATTTACTCCTCTCTAGGAGATTATGATTTTGAATTATCGACAGACGTTTCTTCATCTCTCGCCGAACTCGCATCTGGATCCGCTGCACTATTATATTACTCCACCACGACAAATGATCTCCCTGTGGAGGTCCATCGTGCAGCAGCTGGCAGGCTCGCACGCTCATATAGAGCAGAGTGCCTTGCCACTGAAAATGGCATTATACACCTCATACCTTTTGTCTGGAAACACCCCAATCACCCACACGAATCCTGGTGGCTACGGACTCCCTCTCGGCGATGGAATCACTCCGCGTCGTTCCACTGGCCATGCAAGACTACGTCACCGAAGAGATTTGGATTATGCTGCTCTCCTTGATAAAGCGAGGTCACTCTGTAAACTTCATGTTCTCTCCATCGCACTGCGTTATCCCACGCAATGAGGCCACTGACGACGAAGCCATGAACGCACGATCCCTCCCGCAGGAGGGCAGCCCAATCTGGCACGTGGACTTCCTTACTGCAGTCAGGTGGCCGTACTGGAAGGAAGTCGAGGAGGAAGAAGAAGTCGCACACCGCATGACAGGCGCCTGTCGGTGTGGTAGGGACTCTATTCCTGGCTCGACCCGGACATAGTGCCATGAGTGGCGGCTCTGCGCAAAGGCACGGTGCGATTCCTGCCCACTCTTCGACAGTCTTGCGTGTGTCCTTCGTATCACACATAACCCTCTGTGTTGGTGGTGCCGTCCCTCCATCACTGAGGAGACTGGCCGTTGCATCGCCTGTAGTGGTCTAAATTTCTGTTCTCATTATGAATGGTGGGAGT